TAAACCTTGGTCTCATACTTCTTCCTCATATCTGACGTTAGGTAGACGATCACGTATGGATCAGATGTGCCTCCACTGTCCATGGCTTTCAGCTCAGCTGCCTGCTTCACACCTACTTTCAGCTTAAAAGGATTGAGGCAGAAGGTCACCAGGTGGTGGAGGCCAGATGACTGGGGGCTAGGTGGGAAGCCAGATAGTGCAGCAAGGAGTACGCCGCTGCACTATGGGGGTGCAAGAGCTGGGTGGCTGCAGGCAGGGGGAGAGGTGCAAGAGGGTATGGTCCACCTCAGCGGGCAGCAAAAAGGGACCATGCAAGAGCAAAGCCTTTTCCCCGCTGCACCACTGCCAGAAGCATCCCTACCTCCTGAGCACGGAAGTTGTACTCCAGGGAGTACTGCAGCTTTCCTCGCCCCGTCTGCTCCACAGCCAGCTCCAGGTCCTCCATCTCAGGCTGGACCTGCAGCAGAGAGCAGCACTACCCTCAGGACATGCTCAGCCACATCCCCAGCCACCCCCAGGACCACCCAGGCAGGGTGGCAGCAAACCTCTCAGGAAGGAGGGAAGTGGGGGAGAGGAGAAAGCAGGACGCACAAGGCTGGCCGTGGTGGAGCTGCTGACAGAATGCATGTTGACTCTCTCCTTCTTCTTCGGCTTCTTCTTGCAACAGCAGCACCTGATGATGCAGATGAGGAAGAGGAGGAAGAGAACGGCTGCTGCCACAGCCACAGCGATGAGTGCCCATTTGGGTACTGGTGAGACGTTCAGGGAATGGAGATGGACAGAAGAGTTAAAACCAAGCAAAAACATAGATAGTGGTGTAAACCCTCTCCTGGTGCTTCAGCATTAAGTTGTACTTTAAAAATTGTCCTTATAATCCCAGACAGACCTCATGCAGGGAGGCTGTGGCTGGAGAGCATTCCCCAAATACACAGCAAGGATGCCCTGCGCACCCAGTGAGGCACAGTACCCCTTTGCAGCAATCCCACCCTGATGGACCCTGACGAAAAAAGGGATTTGGAGGGAGGGAGAAGTGGATACACAGCCTCAGATTCCAGGAGCAACCCCTGGGATAATGCTGCCTGAGAGAACAGGGCAAGCGCTGCCATACTCACGTGGGATCCGGCTAAGCCAGCTGCCCAGGAAGCCCGGCTGAGCCGTGGTGGGGATGGCCACGGGGGTGCTGGCAAGCAGGGAGGCCGTCACCCTGCCTTTCCTGGCTGCCACCGCCATGGCTAAGCTGGGGTGACCTGGGGAGGCAAGAAAAATTAACAGGGTGGGGATTTCCTTTCCAATAATATGTATGCTGCCAGTGGCCCAGGGCTCTAATGAGAGCAAACACAATTAAACCACGAAGTCCAGCGTAAGCGTTTAGGGCTTGGCCACTTTGGCAATGAGGTGTAAAATGGAGCTGGAGGGAGCTGCGGGCAGGGAGGGCTCTGCGCCAGCCAGCCCCTTGCCTACAGCCTTCTCTATATCCTTGCAAGCCTGCCTTTGAAAAGGGGAGGGAGCAGGGGATGGATTAGGGAGTTTTCCTTCGTTTTTGAGAAGAGGAATCACCTGGCTGTAGGGGGAAAAAACCCAAGAACTGTTTTGTGTTGGCTCCCCCCTGGCCAGGCAGCATGAGCTGAAGGGTCTGCTCAGCCCCAGGCAAGCTCCATTGTTAGCTAACACCTTTTTTTGGCTATTTTCCCCCCTCTCGTGGGGCTGAGGAGCGGGATTGCAGTGGGGCTGGTGCCACCAGCCTGAGATCACACTGGCTCAGAAACTGCATAAGCCTGACCTGTGCACATGGCAACGCTGACGCGACTTAAGGGAAGGCTTCAAATTTAAAGCAGAACGGTTTTTCACTACTGTTCTCCCCGTAGCAAGGCTCTTATTCTAGCATGAATGCTTCCTCATCGCCAACACTTCCTCCTCGCCTCCTTTTGGGCGAGAAGCGGCAGCGGGAGAGGCGTTCCAGGAGCCGGGCTGCAGGGCGAGCAGGTCTGCAGCCATCACAGCACTGGTGGCACCTGGCCTCAGTGCCGTGACCGAAGCTGGCAGGTATGTGCCTGTTTGCCTTGGCTGCCCCAGCCGCCCGCCTCGCATCCCAGTGGGTACCTGCTCGAGCTGCCAACGCTGCCTCGCTCTGCCTACGTTCTGCCCACCCCACAGGGCCATGTCTCCTTGCATGGGGATCCTCTGGGGGAGAAACCACCACTGCGCCTCCCTCTGCTCAGTCCACCAAGAGCTTTTAATTTTTCCAGCATGGGCTTTGCTGCCTGCGGGCATAGGGCTGGAAGGATGTGGGAATTGCTGTCATCCCTGCAGCATCATCACTGGGGTAATGAGGGGCAGGTTAAGTGACTTGCCCAGGGCCACCTGGGACATCTGTGCCATTGGATACCTGAGCTCCGCTTGCAGCCTTGCCACCAGCAGCTTTAATGATCGGTTTCTCCTGTTCCCACATGCGGAAATTGGTGGCTGGTGACATGCCTGCGATGCTTAGGAGGCACTGGGCTGTGGCTTCAGGCTGTGGTGGTGGGTAGACACGACAGTGCAGGCAGGCAAGCACAGAATTTGGTGTCTCAGGAATTTTTCCCTGCCATACCCCATGGATTGTGTCACATTAGTCTGACATTGTCCTGGTTTAAAAAAAACCTCACCCCAGTCCTGCAGGACATCCTGAGACACTATTCTGGGGGAGATGGGGACAGCCCTCCTGCCCTCTGACTGGTCTGGGAGAGACAGCACAGCTTTGGTGGGCTTTCCAGGGACCATCAAGCAATCCTGCTCCTTGAAAAGGGGCTGGGAGAGCTCTGCTGCTCACTCCCACCCTTTGCTGACTGGGGTCCCGAAACCAGACTTACCGATGCGTCTCCTTCCTGGTTTTAGTCTCCCTTTCCCTCTGTGAGATCTCCAGGACCAGCCACCGTGTGTGGCAGGGGCATGCTATGAGATGAGATGGGACCCTGCCGGGTGCAGAGCTGGGAGCAGAGCAGGGATGGTGGCCACACAGCACCACGGAAACAGGAAAGTCGGCTTTGCCAGCCCAGGAACCAGGCGGCCCCAGGAGCTCTGTCGGCCCCACCTCGCTGCTGACCCAAGCGGTGCTCACACAGGTGAAAAACCAGTGGGGAACTCCCTGCTGGACCAGGAAGCAAAACCGTCCCTCCTGCCTGTGAGAAACTGGCGGGCATCACTGCCTGGCTCTGTGCCCTGCCAAATTCGCTTCTTCAAGTTATCCCTGCAGCGATGCTGGGCTGGACCATGCAGCTGCAGGCACTTAGCGTAAGGGGATGGATGCTTGCAAGGAGATGGGTGCATGGCTGCATCCATCCCTGGTGAGCCCTGCACTTGGAGGGCTCAGCTCGTTGGCCCACACTGGCACTCCATGGTTTAATGCACCCTGCAAGGGCCCAAGAAATGTGTGTGGCAGTGGGGAGGAACGGAGATGCTCCTCTCCAACGTGGCAGGGAGGAGAGACGGGATGAGGGGATACTGCTGGTGTGGCTCCATCCCCCAGCACATACAGGAGCAGCACCAGGCACACAGCCAGAAGCAATTTCACCAGCATCTCTGTCACGTTAAATTTATGGTTACCCACTTCTTCCCTTGCTGCCAATTCATCAAATTCAGCCCCAAACCTGCCTTGTCACCACACAAATTTGGGGCTGGAAGCAGGGAGCCATACCGCCAGTGAGCGATGGCTGACACAGACGTGGGGGAAGAGTCACCAGAAACCAGAGTTGTCCCAGCTCTGCCTGGCCACCCTGGCTCACCGGTCCTGCCAGATTTTCACATGGCCGCCAAGGCCACACAGGGCACCTGGCCACAGGAAAGCTGGGCAGGCTGCCTCTTGGCCACCTAAAACCTCACCCCACTCACAAGCACCCTGCACTCCTGCTGCTCAGAGAAGCATCATCACCAGGAACAGGAGATGCTGTGGGAATGATACTGCAGCAAACCTCTGGGAGAGAAACATAGACACCAAAAATGTTTTTGCTCTAAACTGGCAGTCCTGGAGGACTGCACAGGAGAAATGCATAAGGGGGATAGGGAGAAAAGGGAACATGCCCAATAAAATCGATCAGGGAAAGGGGGTTTGCAGACACATGCTAAAAGCTGAGCATATCAGTAGCCTTTTCAACAGGCTGTTTCCTAGAGACAAGTATCCCGGTGAAGCCAAGCTGCGCAGGACCCCATTGTGGCCCACACTTTGCGAGGAGATTTGGCGATGCCAGTGATAACCTGGTGACACGCAGGGAAACAACTGCTTGGCCTTAGTGCAGGTGAGCTCAGTCTCCTTTGGCAGAAGCCAGGCTGGGAAGGGTGCTGCTCCGGGCCATCGTGCCAGCAGTGGGGCAAGGGAAAAGCTGCAGGAGGGCAGCCATTCCTGTGTATCAGCCTCACACCTCCCCACTCCCCGCCCCCCCCCACCTTTCTAAATGTCACTCTTGTGCAGAAAGAGGGTGTTGAAACACCCTGGCAGCATGACCCTCACAGGGCCGGGTGCTGCACAGCCTGTCCAGGGGAGCAAGGTCCCAGCCCAAAAATCACCCCTGCAGTGCACGACAGGCAGCTCCCAGAAAAGAAGGGAAAAGGGACCTAAAAATATTTAGAGTAAAATCATAAATGTGGCAAGACCCCTCTGTACCCCGGCTCAGCCTCCTGCACACTCTGCGAGCCGCTCTCGAGGCGGTAACCCTGTATTTTCAGTCAAAACCACAACCGTTATGTATTCAAGGGCTGGGAAATGAGAGGTCTGGGTGCAGGCTATAAATACCCCCACTACAGAAATAGACCTGCGGGCAGTGAGTGGCGACTGAGCCCAGGCTCCGAGGGAGCCCAAAAAGCAGGACCAAGGGGCTGAGCCCCTTCCCTGGGGAGCAGCGCGGCCGAGGCCAGGCCCGGGCGGCCATGAGGGCCTGTGCAGTGCCGGCTGGGAAGCACAGCCCAGCCCGGGCACTGTGCCAGCCTGCCGGGCTGCCTACAAATCCCAGCACGCCGGGGAGCGGAGCTGCACCCCAGTCTGGCTCCTGCCTGCTTCCTGCCAGCACGGGGACAGGGGGAAATATAAACAGCAGCATCTGGGGCAAGGTCTGGATGCTACAGCTGGACACGGCTGTGCCGGGGAGCAGAGGCAGCACTCCTGGTGAGTTGGGTTTTTTTTACTTCCTAGCAGAACGCTGGCTGCAGGCAGCACGGTTGGTCGCTGCTCCCTGCTACGCAGCTGTAGGGTGAGCTGCGGGGACCAGCCAGCATCCGTCTGGAATGCTTTGCTGTGCATCCAGCATTGTGTACATCGGGGGGTGCCGGCAGCGGAGACGTGTGTGTGTGTGTGTGCATATACGCATATCTGTACCTAAGCGATACTGCACTTATTAGGGGCAGGTGGAGGGACAGGAGAAGTCAGCACTTGGAACGGCAGAGCAGAAATTCAAGGTGGTGTTCTCCCTCCCAGGATGAGCTGCTCATCTCCATTGTCTCCTCTCATTTCATTTTCACTTTTAGAAAAGCGCTCGGCTGAAATTTGGTCAGAGGACAGCTTGTCCCTGCTCAGCAGACACAAGGGTGGTTGTTGCCACCCTCTGCCCTGCTCTGAGGGAGGAGACCCCTTCCCAGCACACATTATGGGTGGAAGAAGCAGAGGGATGCGCAGCATCTCCAGGGTTTCCAGGCACCCCCTGGCTGGGGGGGCAGCTGGGGAGTAGATATGAAAGCATTGAACCCCCATGGCAAGGCTCAGGCTCTTGGGGCTGGCGTCAACTGAGTGCATTTCCTACCAGCCCAGACAACACTTTGCACACCCCCTGAATAATAAAAGTAAGTAAATTAAAGAAAACTGAGGCAAAAGGAAGGTCTCCCTGCTGACCCTGACTTCTCCTTCACTCTGCATGCTGGCTTTGGTCTATGCTTGCACAGCCCCTCAACCCAGTAATCAGGTAGGGTATGAACTGGTAAATGAGGTTTTAACCCCCCTGCCTGTTTGTGCAGAGACCTCATTGCTGCCTCTGCTCTCCAGAGAAACTCCACAGCATACTTGTAGGAGCTGCTGAGTGGAAACAACCCCCATGGGATGCCCCTCTGTGGGAATGGGAACAGTTCCCATCCCACAAGCTGAATCCTAGAAGTCCATTTCTAACACTGACTAGTGCATAGAAATGAAGTGAACAACGTGGTGATTACAGGACCCGGGTGTATAAAAATAAATGTGATTTCTTATTCAGCTGCTAGGCACAGGCAGACCATGTAACCCCCCTACGCTTTCACCTGCCAGACCTGGGTTAGCACAGCCTACACCGAGACCATTACTGTAGGGTCTGGCTGGTTCACAGGGCTGGGGAGGAGCAGACCAGCCCCATCAGCAGGATCCCGTCCTGCACCCAAGCCCTCACCACACATCTCTACTTATTCAGACCTTTTGTAACCACAAATGAGCTGCTCGCACAGTGAAACTGCTTACTTGTAGATACAAATGCACCATTCAAACAAACAAAAAAAAAGTAGCAAGAAAGGCAATAAGGATGTGAACTAGAAGCCTACCCATAAGATCTTACCTATTTTGGCTTTTTAGCTCCAATCAATCTCCCAAGCCCTAGTTAAGATGTGTAAAGACAGACTTACTTTGCTGGAAAGAGCTTCACAACCACTGTCAGCAGTTCCCCCTGGAGAAAAATACTCTTTGGGGGGGGAAGCACCACTTCATCTTTAAGGTCCCTTCCAACCTAGAAGATTCTGTGATTCTGTGATCATATTTAGTTGGAAATATTAAACCAGGCTTTCTCAGAGCAGAGCCATTGTCAGCAGAAGCAGGTTTACTTGGGTTGCTCCACTTGGTGGGGAGGATGACCCCTTTATTTTCCACTCTTCCTCCTCTCTAGATTGGCTGTATTATAACATATCATTTTAATTGTATATTTTCCTCTTTGAGGCTGAAAGTGGAAGATGGCAGAGCCTGAAGGCACAATCATAAACACTGATGTGAAACAGGTAAGAGGTTGTTCATTACAAAACATACATCCTGTATTTCCAAAGCAAGTTTTGAAATGCCACCACAGCAGAGGATACACCACAGCCCAGAGCTGTGGTGGCCTGAATTGCTTGTGCCTATGCTTCAGTAGAAGTGGCCTGTACCAGGGCTTCTGGCCACCTGGTCGCAGCAAGGTCCATGTAATTTCTACATGGGAAGAGGTTGCTGGACTGAACCTTCAATTGCATGGACAGGACGGGTGCATTTGCTCACACAAATTTTGGAGCAGCCAGAGAAAAAGCAGCAGCTTCTGTACATATGTAGAGACTTTATTAGTCTCCAGAGCTGAAGGGTAAAACCACCAGTACGTGCAGAGAAACAGCAGTGCCCAGCTCAGCACAAACAGTGTGCCCACAAACACAAAAAGTATGAAGCAATCCCTTCTGGTATGTGCTGTCCTCAAAGCGTATGGCACTTAGCAGACAGGTTAATGTTTCATAACTGCCTGCCCCGAGGCCATGGCTGTGCTGTGCCCACAAACACAAAGAGTATGAAGCAATCCCTTCTGGTATGTGCTGTCCTCAAAGCGTATGGCACTTAGCAGACAGGTTAATGTTTCATAACTGCCTGCCCCATCCTTGGTGGCCTGAAAATTGATTGGGCTTGGTACTTCTCCTCCAAAGGCCCTCTGGCATTGGGAACTGTGACACACGGATCATGCCTCCAACACCCAATCTCACCACCCCAGTCAGTGGAGCCCATCACCCCACCTCCCCTGTCTCCTTCTCTGCTGGCACCTAACTCTTCTTTCTTCCCTGTTCTGCAGAAAGACCCCAGTGAGGCACTGGTCATTGCGGTGACCACCAGAGCCATCTTCAACCTGGAGGAGGAGCACAAGCTCTACCTGGAAAAGGGCAAGGAAGAGTACATAAGGCACCAGCAGGCCAACCAGAACAAGCCCCTGCCACCAGGCACGGCTTTTGCCTTCATCCAGGTGAGCCCCACACCTCACCAGGGGAACATGTAGACACTCGCAGGATGGGGTGAAAGCTCAGCTTTCCCAGATTTAGGTCTCAGCTCCCATCACAGGGTGCAGATATGCCTGTCCTGGTCTTGGTCTCTCCTCACCAGTCCCACACGTCCACCTTCCCCCTGGTGGATATCCTGCTCTCTGCACTCCTGATCATGGCTCTTGTAGTAAGATTGCTCTGTCTGGCTCTCCATAACGTGCTAGCCTTGCCATAGCTGACAGATGCAGCACAAACCACTAACCTTAACTGCAAAAGAGCCCCAGCAAAGGCATCACAATCCTGCCCCTCTAAAAGAGTCTCATTTCTCGCAGGCAGTGCAGTATGTGAACAAGAAGATCCTGGAGAGCAACCCAGCAGAGAAGGACCTCTTCGACATCCTGGTGCTCTCCAACAACAGCCCAGAGAGTGGAATGCGCATCATCAACAGTGCCAAGCACTATGGTAAGGGGGACATCATCCCCGGAGGTGTCTGCTTCCCCCTGGGAGGCTGCAAGGCAGATAAGGCACCACAGTGGAGCGTCATTGGCAAATAATAGAGAGCCAGGGGACACAAGGGGAAGGAGTTACTTTGGAAACAAGCCCAATTCCTGCCCACCCCATGCAGTTTGCTGAGGCTGCTGGAGCACACTGAGCATACAGGCTCTTTGGCAGAGCCCAGCTCCCTTCGGCCATATTCTTTGCATCAGGGGGTCTGGTAGTATTTTGCATGCCTGAGGCATCCTTAGGCAGCTACTAAAGAAACAGAATTCTTAAAAAAAACAAACAAACAAACAAAAAAACCCACCACCACAAACACAAGTCACAACCTAAATCTGGGATTTAGGTTCATTTAAGGGAGGGATGAAGGGAATATTTAACCACACTCTGCAGTTTTGTAGGAACAACAGGGCAAGAAGGTGCAGCAAGAACATGCAGGTTCCCCACACAGCACTGGGAAATGGAATGTCCCAAGCTCTGCGGCAAGGCACGCTGAGACCCTGGGGAGGGAAGAGGGGGCTGTGAGGAGGGTGTTGCCCCATAACAGACTTTGCTCACATTCCCTGAAGGCCTGGAGATCTCAAAGTTCTGCTTCGTCAGCGACGAGGACTCCACGCAGTACCTGAAGTCCCACGGGGTCAAGCTCTTCCTCTCAGCTGACAGGACAGACGTCTGCAATGCTCTCCGGAGAGGTGTGTTCTCCCCTCCATCCCACATCCCCAAACCCACCACACTTTTCCCAAGCAGCTCAGTACTACGAGGCAATGCCAGAGCCGTGCTTTCACAGGGGCAAGGGGGTGAACGGCGCATTGATTGCTAGTACAGTCCTGAAAAGTTCATTCTCCTCAACAGTAGCCTGCAAACACACCAGGATTTATCAGATGCCTTCACAAGTCACTGAGTGTTTTATGCATAATTCTGGCCATAGGTCTGCCATGGGCTGGTCATTCCCCGCCTGACATTTAAACCTTTCTACCCAAGATGCTGCCCATCGCTGCTCCCTGGATCAATGAGTGTGCATTGCTGGTTCCCAGGGCTTTGTGAGGATGCTATAGAAATTTGCTTTCCTGGTACATGCGGAGTTACCATGTGCTCAGTGATAGATGTAAGCAGATGCTTGACCTGGATCGGAGGGAATGGAGTCTCCCCAACAGCTCTAATGGGGTTAATCGCCTCCGTATTAATTTGCTTGAGTATGAGCACATCAGCTGGCCAAGGTCCTTCAAGGTCAGGAGCAAGCCATCTGCAGCCTGGGCTTTCCTTCGCTACACAGCACATTCCTTGAGCCTCCTTGAAGGGCATCATCGCTCTGACAAGTCTCTCATCAGTGGGCCTCGGTCCACAGATGAGGGCAGGCAGGGAGCAGCCCATCAGAAGAGACCTGTAATTAAGCCAATTACCCCAATCGAGTGGAGGTGCCAGTCCCTATTACTCACAGCACAGGGTGCTAAATCTGGGCATTAAAGCCAGGCTTAGCGGGGTGAGCAAGCACCAGGAGAAGGGCTGCCCATGCCTACACTACCACCCATCGTCTCTTAGCAAACCGAGTGTCTCTCCAGATGTCAGTGTCTGATCAGCAGTGCTGTCTTGTCCATCTCCATGGGGGAATAACTCAGCCCTGGAAAGGCTGGGCTAACACACACCCCCAGAAAGACCCCTGGTTTGGAGACCCCAGCGTTTTTGTGGTGTGGGCTGGGGCCACAGTAGATGAGCAGGGAGAAGCTGGCCATGCATGAGCTGCCCCCAGGAGAGGTTGTCCCGCCTGAGCCCCACCTTGCTCTCTCTCACAGGGGTCTCGTCAGCGCTCGTCTTCCAGCAGGAGGTCCAGGCCCCCAGCACTCTGCTCCGCGTGGTATTCGATGGGGATGCAGTGCTCTTCTCTGACGAGACAGATCGGGTCTTCCAGGAGAAGGGGCTGGAGGGGGCAGTGCAGTACGAGCGGGAGATGGAGGCCGTGCCCATGGGAGAGGTGAGCAATCCACCCCACCTTGATGGGCATCCACAGACTCTGCATGCACCACGAGCACCTCTCCCACTAGAGCTTTGCCCTGAGTAGCCAAAAAAAGCACAAATCCTTACAGGATCCCTTTGCATCCACCACTCTCTCCTTGGTGTGGGCCTGATCTGGAATCCCACTGGAGACAGATCTGGCCCGACGTCTCCTGTTAAGTGAGCATCAACTCCCAAATATCCAGGATTGTGGATTTGTAGGCTAGGATCTCTTGCTGTGCAAGTCCCTGCAAGACTCAGATCCAGAGGCACTGCTCATCTTCCTGGATGTACCTTCCTGGTCACTTTGGGATTAGGATGAGCACCATAAGGCTCACCTTCCTCCCAAGCACCCGAGTGCACAGCAATGCCCAGTCCTGTACCACACAGGTGTTCCTGTGCTCTGCAGAGCCCTGAGAAACCCTGGAAGAGGAACTAGTGGCTTGTGCAGGCAGAAAAGATGTCTCCTTATTTCCCACTCACTTCTAAGTGTCTTGCTGTGCTTCCAGGGCCCCCTGAAGGCTTTTGCCATGCACCTTGGGAAGATACGCAAGAAGTTCAGCCAGGAAAAATCACCCATCCGCACCTACCTGGTGACTGCCCGCAGTGGCCGGGACATGGGCATCCGAGCCATCAAGACACTCCGGGAGTGGGGTCTGGCCATTGATGAGGCTTTCTTCATGGACGGTGCTCCCAAGGGCCCCATCCTCTCCCAGATCCAGCCCCATATTTTCTTTGACGATGGCCTTCATAACATCCGGGGGGCTCAAGACATGGGCATACCCTCTGCCTGGGTCCCTTCCTGCTGCTGATGGGCTGCAGGCCTCCCTCCCAGCACCACAGAGGACTGGGCCAGTTGAAGACAAACCTTCTGGTGACGAGGGAAAGATTTCCTAACCTGCAGTAAACAAGCCTCAGGGAAAGAGGATAAGAGCATTGTGTGAGAGCACAGACAACCTGGCAAGACTTGATGTTTATTTCTGCTCCTGATATGAGGTCCTTTAGGTTTTAAGCAAAAAAAAAAAATGCAACTACTCCAGAAAGAAAGGATACATTTGCTGTGACTCTGAGGACTACCACCTGTATATCCAGGAAGACCTGGGGACTTTTTGCTTTTGCAGAAAAATAAATGAAGCTGTTGCCTTCCACACATGAGCTAAGGAAGCATGAAACCAAGCACTAGAAGTTCTAGCTTTAGCTGCGCTCAGTCTGCAAGATTTATTCCCAGGACCTCTGCCCAAAGGAAGCCCTCAAGACCCTGCCTCACCAGACACACTCAGCTTGGTTTCCTGAGAAGACTGATGTGTTAGCAAGTCCTTCAGGCAGCTCCAGCCAAACTCAGCAGACAGAGAAAGACTTCAAAGCTGTAAAGAATTTACAAACTTTTTAGAAATGGGTGACCAGGTTGAGGAAAGAAAGTCCAAGCTGTTCCCCTTTATAGAAAAGATTATAGCACAAGTCACCTTTCATTAGGCATGCAGGCTGCTCACAGAGTGCCCTTAGGAGACCCAGACGTGTAGGACAATCAGCTCTTGGAGCTGCAGGAGATGGTCCAAGGACAAAGCTGCAACCTAGGTCTGAGGTCCATCCAGGGGACAGAACTGCCACATAGCTCCAAAGTCCCACCAGGAGAGGGCACTGGAGATGGGCTACCTACAGCACAAGCCATGCAGGGGTCAAATTACAGACCAGCACCCCAGGGACCAGAACAGAACTAGGTGCCCAGGCCTGAGCTTAAATGGGTCTCCAGCGTGTGGGCGGAGGGGGTGGGTGGGTGTCCCAGGTGTGGCAGTTCAAGGCAGGTGGGGCTCATGGGAGTGCTCAGGACCCTGCCTGGAACCAAGTAACCTGCTGCCCAGGATGCTTCTCCACCAGCAGTTTGGTCTCTGGTTCTCATTTTCCCGGGGAGCAAGCAGCCCCCCAAGATTCGTTTGCAGGTTTCTTTCCCCAGGGCTGGGTATGAGGAGCTGCCACTAGAGGCCACTGTGCTGCCTGGGGATGTGGCACCCCAAAAACCCCAGGAGCTCCCCAAAGCCACCTCATAATCAAACTGGCTGCTCAGGGCAGTACCTGCTTGGTGGCAGTGGGATTATGGAATGGACGAGATAAAGATGATATTGGCTTAGTTTTAGTTTGTTTAATCTCAGTGTAATCAGAAAGTAATTTTTTTTAAAAAAAGCATCGCAAGTGTCACTCTCACCAATGCCTTTCCCCCCCAATAAAGAAATAAATGAGCATCCCCATGTGAGCACTTGTCCCTCATGCCCGTGTTCAGTGGCATAGGAGGAGGGCTGGGATAATTCCATGTTCTTTTACAGGCATTTGATTCTTTTATCCAATCTTACATGTGCTCATTGAGCTGGGTTCAATGCACAAGAAACCTTCAGTTGACTTTGTATTAGTCCTCTGCCAAACTTCTTGCATCCCCAAACCTGTGCCCTTCTGCTACCCTGGGCTTGGGGGCTCTGCAAATCTCGCCCTGCCAAGGGGAGCTGCTGACCCCACTGTGCCACTGGCATGGGTCCTGTCCCTGCCACCGTGGCCACCACACAGGGCCAAACTCGGGGCTGCCAGGGCACAGCAGGGCAGCCGTGTTCATGTGCAGGGCTTTGTGAGGAAGCCATCTCCAAAGATACAACGCCCAACAGGGTTTTAGCACCAGCAGTCTGTCCCCTGGCCTTTTCACTCAGTTCAGATGCTGAAATTAGATGTCTCGAGGTATCAACATCGACAACATCAGCTACTCATCATTCACTAATAAAGCTAAGTACCCGTCACCCTCAATCACTAAGCAAACATTAATTACAGGATACTCAAAACATGCCGGGTGAGCAGGTACAGATGCTCGTCCCACTTTTATGCAGGTCAGATACCACCAGGCTTGGTGTAGGGATCCAAGCACCCATCTCCTGCCCCCCTCACCATGTACAGCCAGCTGCTTCAGTGGCAGCTGGCACTGGGGACCTGGACATGGCAGTGTTGGCAATGGAGGTGGTCCCAGATATCCTCCACCACTCTGACCCATGGCCTTTGCCAATGCCTGGACAGTGCCAGCCTGAGCTTGGTCAATGCCTTGGCCAAGGGGGAATTAGCTGAGTCAAGGGTGGTGGGGACAGGCCCACGTGAGCCTTTGGAGGGTGCAAACTGCTGAGGCAAGGGGAAAGCGCCACACGCCTTCCTCCAGCTCTGTCAGCATGGTGGGGGATGACAGGGCAAAATGTGCCCAAAATGGGAAAAAAGGAAGGAAACTCAGGGTTTGCAGGGTTGTGTCATATGGGGCTAAGTGCAGCTGCTTCAGGCCATGGCTCAAAGGTGTAGCATCAAAACTGCCCTTCATTGCCCTGTTCCAAAGATGGAGCATCAAAAGCACCCTCTGGCAAGGACTGCTGCAGCTTCACTCCCTGCTGCAAGGGCAAACTTCTCGTTTCTGTCTTCGAGGCATCTGTAACAAGTTTGTTAATGCTTGGGATGTTCCTCAGGTCTTGGCTTTCAGAGGCATTTTAATCTCCTTCCTTCAAGGGGTTGCTGGTGCCCAGGGATCTCCTGCTGCTGCTACAGCCCAAAGGGGGTTTAGCCGCTGGGACTAGTTGCAGGATACTTCTCTGATATTTATCTCAGGTTTCGGGGGTCAGGGCAAGGAAGGAGGAGGTCACACAACCATGCCACCCCACAGGGACAAGCTCCCTTCGAGCCCGGCTGGGTTTCACGCTTTTCCACTCCAGGAAAAGAAATGAAGGGGCGCAAAGCAGGATCTGAGGACCTGCAGTTTATTCTGGCCATCCCTTATCAACGACCCCGCGCTGTCCCAGCTGAAGCTGCCCGGTGTCCGGGTCCCCCCTGGCACTGCCCCCCCAGTGCTTGGGACACCCTCGTGATACCATCCCAGTGCAGGGTGGGAAGCGGGCAATGGTGGGAAGAGCAATGTCCCCGCTCTGCTCAGCCGCAGGCGGGCCAGCTGCCTCCTCTGCCCAGGCCAGCGCTGCCCGCGGCGCCGAACAAGCAGCCCTTGTTTCGGGGGGAGCGCGTGACCCCAGTTATTGGAGACTGTGGCCAGCTGGCCCCAAGGAGTTTGCAGGAGACCTTTGCCCAGGAGTGTGCCCTTAATCCCCCACTTACTGCACCAGTGAATTTTAGGATTTTAAAAAAAAAATGCAATTTAGCTCTATGAGAGAAAAAGAATTTTTTTACGAAATGGTGGCACTGCAGGGAGGGAAGATTGGCAGGTATTTAGCTGCTAACAGACATCTGCATTGGCAGTGTCCAAGCAGTTCGGCTTTATTGACTCCTGACTGCAGCGGGATTGGATGCTGGAGGCTGCAGGACCCAGGCGCAACTGCGGTGTCTCCCAGGAATGCCCCACACCTCCCTCCACCCACAACCTACAAGGACCCTCGACCACAAGCACAGGGCAATCATCTTCACATTTTTTACCTAACCGTAAGCCACACCAGTGACAGAACTCCCTGGGAAACACTCAAGGGTTCCCAGCCACGGAGGCTGAGACGCCAAGTTCCATGCTGCAAATAATTATAAACAGGGTGTTTTCCGTGCAGAAGCTCAGAAAGAGGGTGTGCAAAGCTGCAGACTCTGTTTGCCAAGGTGCTTAAACGTGGGTTCAAGATCTTAACCCCAGGCAGGCACATTGGAAAATGCTGGCCACGGCAGCAAGTGAAGCTGGTGCTTAGAAGAAAGGTGACAATAAATAGGAGGGAATTAAGAGCCTTCATGGGCCTATTCACACAGCAACACCCGCCCCGGGAGGTCAGGATTGATTCACTGAAGAGGAGCTGGGTGGCTGCTCCTCCTCCAAAGAAACACATTGCAATTTTAAGCCGATCCTTGGGTTGCCATGGGGTGTTGACCCTCATCTTTCCGAGCCCATCTTTCCGAGATGCTTTGGTGCTTTGTCACACAGAGAAGATGTAATCGCATAAATGATGGTCTTCTTGAGGCAGCTTTGTCTGGAAATTAAAAGAAATAATTAAACAGCATCTAGTGCTGGCAAAGAAAATGAGATGGATGGCATGCTCGGATGAGGCCGGAGGCACATCTCTGCATCAAGCATGGAGATCCCACCTGTGAGCTGATACCCCCACCCCAAGCTGAGCACGCATGGCCCCAGGGACCGTGGCAGGGATTGCTCAAGGCGGGCGATGAGGTGAATCGGGTCCCAGTGCTCCCTATCACATCCTGGCGTGGGAGGCGATGAATGGATGCCATCATTGCCACTTACCACCTCATCCCATCAGCCGTTGGTCACGCTGCCTGCTGCCAGCGCCTGCCAGGGTTGTTGTTGTCTGTCTCCAGCAATTTCAGCCTGCTGCAAAATAACTCGGATGAGGCAAACACCATGAGATCCCTGCCCCGAGGAGCAGACAGGGACAGCAGGGGTGAGGCTGGTCCCCTCCTCCTCGAGATGGGTACCAGGTGTGTCCCCGGCTGTGGGGGAGGATGGGCCGGGGTATGCGGAAGGACGTCCGATGCTGAGCGGGGTAAGGCGCAGGCAGGCGGAATGGGGGCAGCAAGGATTTGGGCAGGGCCACGGAGAGTGTGATGCAGGGATGGGTGATGCCAAGTTTGGCAGCAGTCTGTCGAGACACGGCGGTATATGAGTAAACCCTAGTGAGGAGACATGAGCACATCTCACAAGTTTAAAGACCATAAGCATTTTGCTGTACAAGGCCTTTTTTTTAAAAAAAAATACCTAGGGGAAAGGCTGGAAGAGCAGGATCTGATAGAGAAGGTCCACTAGAGTGAAAGCACCCCATGCTCAAGGCCCTAATGGGTTCCTGCCCATCATGACACCCAGCCGTGACACCTAGCTGCTGGTGAGCCACCCTCACCTGCCACCGGGATCAGGGTTTGTGGTGTGAGAGACACCAAAGGAACAATTACCGCCCAGCCTAAGCCTTTTGCAACTTAGCATCTCCCCAAGGTCACAGCAGCCCATGCTGGCAGCCAAAAAATGTTTAAGCAGGCTGCCCGCCAGCTCTGCCTCCAAACCAGCCCCAACCAGCCGGCACCAACAGACCAGGGATTGCCACCACCCACGATGTCCAGGATACCTCCCGCAGCACCTGCAGTGCTGAGATGTGGTGGCCAGAGCCCAGATGAGCCCCTTTGCTGTGCTCAGAGCAACCCCTCCCCTGCTCCCACGTTTCCCATCAGCCAGAGCTGCTGCAAAAGCACCTTCAGGTTTGCTTTTGCGGGTGTCACCCAGAAAGAGGGTGTAATTTGGGATGTGCCAGTGCCGCTGATAAACGCGCCTTCACCTTGTGAATTGTACATCAGTTTAGGAAATGGCATGGGGAGTGGGCGAGGTCCTGGCACCGCGCCGGGAAAAAGTTACCACCGCTTTGCTCCAGGGCTCAGGGCCGGTGAATCAGGCTCTGCTAATTAGCTGCATCCAGCAGCTTCACACCGGCACCGTGAGCTTGAGTTGGAGTTAGGGTGTTTGCAACCAGACCTGCCCGGACTTGTGTGCCTGTAGGCTCTGCTCGGCTCAGACAGAGGAATATTTTCTTTTTTTTTCCCTTTAGCAACGAGCTGCAAAATCCCAAACGCATTTTTCTGAATTTGAAGAAGATATTCATCCTCTAAAAATCCCACCCGCAGCTTTGCGTTTAACACCTCTTGGCCAAAAAGCAATCAGCGCTTCTGAACTGAAGTTTTCCTTGCCCCTTAGGTCATTGCAATTCAGGGCATTGGGTACCACTGCAATAACTAAATTTTTAAGAAAGTATCAAGGAAGGGGTGAAGCCAAATACACGGGCACACCACAGGGAGAAACAGGTCACCATATCACCCCTGCCAGAGAAACTAAGCAGCATCAGGTCCCTGGCTGTATGGCAAAGGGCAGATGGGACACCCCGGTGTCACCTGCAGAGAGGACCCCAGTCTCCCAGGGCTGGGGCTGGTGCACCTCCCCACAGGAGCCGTTGGGGCTGAGTCATTCCACCTCCCCTTGGGAACCCTCTCTGGCAGAGATCAAGGTTGCGAAAGCGTGTCCCGCTCCCAGGGGTGCGTCACCGCACGCCCACGGCCATGGCTGCCGGGGACAGTGCTCCGGCTCACCCCCAGAATCAGGGAGATGCGGGGGGCTCGGGAGACAGACCAGCAAGGAAAGGGCTTCATTCACTGTGCTGAAAATAGGAGCGAGGAGGGACAGGTCCCTCAGCCATCTCTTGCACATCTCTGCCCGCTCTGGATGCCCTGGCTGCAGCACTCCAGGTCTTGCTCCAAAAACTGAGAAAAAATGCCTAAAAACCTCTGTGCCCAGGCTCATGCCAGCCTATCTTTTGAAGATAACACCATGCAACTCTCACAGTCCTGGCCTACAAATAGCCACACATGCTCCCAGCTCCTGGTTAAACAATCTCCGCTGTGCCTCTCACAGCTTTGACACCAGGGCAAATATCCCACAGGGGTGCTGAGGGAGCCCGAACGCAGAAATCCAGACTCCTTGCCAGGGCCACTGGTCCCCAGCACACAGGTGCAGCCGTGGCAGCTCCAAAACCACCAGTGCCAAGGGCTGGAGACAAATTAAATGCTCTGGGGATACCTCCTACCCCATCCTGAGAGCACCCACGCGAGGATTGTCATCGTAACGTTCCCCGACTCAGCCCCGTCCTCCCTTTTTTGCAATAAACCATTGGGCAGTGACTGGGCTCCCCATGCGATGGACACCTAGGTTGCTTAGAGAAGCACATCTAAAAGCAGCGACCCTCTCATGTTGGCACAAGAGCAGCTCCGAATGCAGACGCAAGCCCTGCTACCACAAAGCCCAGGCCAAGGCTCGCTCGTAACAGCTTTCCTAACAGTGAAACTTGCCCTTAATCCCTTGGGAATTAAAAAAGCAGACACAGGCTGCATCCAGACTGCTTGACCCTGCTGAAAGACTTTGCTCTGCAGTGCGTGATGGTACGGGGCTAGCACAGCATGCCGTCCTCACCAGCCCAGCTCAGCACACCCGGAGCCCTCTCCAGACCCACAGGATGCTGGGAGAGACTGGCCAGACTGGAAGCGCTCGTGGAGGAGCTGCTATAGATGCTCCAGCCTGGAGGGCAGGGGCGCGTCGCCTGGCCTGCCATGGTTTCCCCACCACTTCAAAGAGAAGGGAGGAGGGCTGGTACCTCACCGGCTCCACGGCTGGCTCTGGGAGAGCCTGGAAGGGTGTAGGAAAGCTCCAGGCTTGGCGTCAGGACTATCCCTTTCTTTTGCAAAGCACATTTGCAGAGGGGGTTGGAGCCCTTGGGGAGGGTGGGTTTGCTTAAGGTGGGACAACAGTTGGGGCAGGTTACGCCTGACCTGCAGTGCTCAGTGCTGGGGCCCAGGGGACAAGAGGAGGATACCCAAGGGGACAAGAGGAGGAGGATACCCCCAAGATGGAGCCCAGGGCAACAGGCATGCCTCCAGGGTCAGGCTACAAACGCTGAGGACCTGCCATGCCTCGGCCAGAAAGAGCCGCACAGGGTTTTGCTGAGTCATGCAGTGCTGTGAGGCAGGATTTGCTGACTCAGGGTCAGTGGTGCTGGCCCGGAGCGGGCGCCTGCGGGGCAGGAGGGAAGTGGGGGCTGGCCGGCCTCCAGGGAGGCACCGCCGAGCCCGGACGAGGTAACGGGACCCGGCAGGCCCAGGCAAAGCCTCCGGCCATCACTCCGGAAAACCTCATCCTGGCAGGTGCCGTGTCCCGTGGGGAGGCGGTGGGTTTCCCCACACCCCTGGCTCAAGGGAGGCATGGAGATTTGGACAGACGGCGGGACAAGATACACCCCGGGGCAGCCGTACCCCCCTAAAACCACTCGGCGCAGAGCGCAGTCGGGGGGCATCAGGCACAGACGCAGGGCAGCGGGAGGGTGGAAGAGGCTCAGGGAGGGAGGGCGGGGAGGAGATGGCGTGAGCAAGGTGCCCATGACATGACCCAGTGATTTTCCAGAAGTTGCACGAACACGAAGGTGGTGAGAGAGGGACCCTGCCACGAAGCCAGGGGCCCCCCACGCCAGCAGCGCCCAGCTTGTCCCACCAGCCACTACTCTCCCATGCCCAAGGCTGGGCACAAGCAGGAGGAGAAAACAAGCACCCTGAGCCCTCAGGACTGGGAAGGGAAAGCGTCTGTAAATCCGATTTTATTTGTATTCTTTTTTCTCCTCTGGTCTCGTGGCTCTGTAAGAGCTCAGTCAGGGCAAACTGAGCAGAGATTAACTCCATCCCCAGCCAGCGGGGTGGCACCTCTGGGCCCTGTTGTGACACCTCGGGGTGGCAAAGAGCCCATCCTGGTGTTCCCCTATGCTCAGCCCTGGGGGGGAGGGCACCCCTCAGGATCTGCTGGTGGCTGGTGCCCCCCGGGACTCTGCCCAGCACCAGCATCACCCTCAATGGCTTTAGGTGGCCTGGTATCACCATGGTGGCACCCTGAAGGAGAGAACATTTGGCTCGGCACCCCCCACTCCCATGCAAACAAGCTATGGTTCAGGATATGGCCACCCCCCAAAAAAAACCCTCAGCTTGCAGGGATGGGTTCCCCCCAAACTGGGGTTGTCCTGGGGCCAGGGAGAAGCCGGGGGACTGTCGTGGCCCCTCTGCCTGTGGTATGGTGACAGTGGGTGGGTGGCCGAGGTCCATGGGCTCTGGCAGGGCTAGGGCAGGGGAAGGCTGGCTGGGGGTGGGTGTAGGGGTGTCCCCCCTCTACCTCCGCAGGGAAGGGAAAAAAGCCAGAAAACCTGGAAAGAAGTTAAAAAAAAAAAAAACAACAAAACACCAAACCCAGCAGAAGGAAGCTGAAGACACAACACAAGCAAGCACGCGCGGGCGGGCGGCCGCCTCGTGATGGGTTTTAATGGTGTTGATTCCCCTTTTCCCGGAGGCTGAGTCACGGGGCCCGGCGCCGGGGGTCAGGCCCGGGGGGAAGGGAAGGGGGGGTAACGTGGGGCGGCACCCCCGGCCCCGCACCCCCACGCCGCTGCCCCCGCCCCGGCCCGGCCCGGCCCGCCCTCACGTGACGCCGCCGGTTGCAATTTTAGCCCGTCAGCTGACTCGAAAAATCCCTGGAGAGGGGCCGCCGCGCCTACAAAAACAGGGAAGGCGGCCGGGCGCGGCGTCGCGGCCTCCCAGTGGCGGGACCCACCGGCCTGTAGCGTTTCCCCCCTCCTTCCCTACGCCGCCATCGCCGCCATGGGGCCCCGCGGCCTCCTCCTGCTGCTCGCCCTGGCGGGGCCCTGCGCGGCCCTCATCAGGTGAGCCCCTGGGCTGGGGCGGGGGGGTCCCTCGGGGTCTGCGTGAGCCCCTGCGGAGGGTGGCGGGGGGGGACATGGCACACGCCACCGGGTGCCGGTGCGGTGGCGGCCTCCGGGGTCCTCTCGCAGGCGCCCCCCCGGTGCTGCTCCCCCACCATTAAAGCGGAGGAGGGAAGGGCTGAGACCCTCCGCCAGGTGGAGGGGTTGGGGCTGCTCTGCTGCCTGTGGTGGGGAGTCTCACCTCGGCTCCTTCTATTCCCGGTGACCTTTGGGAGCCACCTGCCGTCTCTCCCCCCCATATCTTCCGTCATTGGGAAAAGCAATGAGCATGGCAGCACGGCAAGGGGACTGGGCATGGGGTGCTGGTGGGATCCCAAACCTTGTCTGCCCTGTGGTGGTGGGTCCCCTGGTTTCAGTGGAGCTGTGCTGCCTCTCCCCTGTCTGCGCACACACCCCCTTTAGCAGGTGGGTATTTGCCCTCCCCTTGCAGGATCCCCCTGACCAAGTTCCCCTCCATGCGGCGGGTCCTGAACGAGGTGGGCAGCGAGATCCCAGACATGAACGCCATCACCCAGCTCCTCAAGTTCAAGCTGGGCTTTGCCGACCTGGCTGAGCCCACACCGGAGATCCTGAAGAACTACATGGATGTGAGTAACCCCTTCCTGCTGACCGCTCCCCCTCTGTGGCAGACCCCAGGGTGATGCTGGCCCAGTGGCTGTCCCTTCTGTGGGCCCCCATGTTGGGGTGGAGGGGGGCATGGAGGGGTGTGGAAAGGGCCATGTCAGCCTTGCTGTCCCGCCACAGCTGGGGAGGGGAAGGAGGGAGAAATGTTGATCCCATAGGAGAGATTCATGCACCCTCATGGCTTGGTAGGTGATTGCCAAAAGTTGCTTCCCATCATTGCTAAACTAAAAATATTAATACAATAATTATAATGATAACATTAAACAACCTGCTGCCACCCAAGTGGGAGCTTTGCAGCTTCTGTGACCTATTTCCTTTCCCCTTTGTCACTAATTAACGATTGTAAATAGGGGCCTGCTGGCTTCCTTACATCTTCTGGCCTGTTTGGGCTTGGCTTTCTGCAAGACAGGGTCATAAAAATTGTGCTCCACTCCTTGGGGCGGTGAAGCATAAAAGAGCAAGCACAGGGCAGGAGGAGAGGGCTTGGACTGGGCACTGACTTGCTATGGGACTGAGTATGCAGGACCCTTTCTGTTGCTGTCCTTCATCTTCTGTATGGCCTTGGGAAAAGCCACCCTGCACCTCTGTCTTCTTTCCGGCTTCTTAGGGAGCAAAAGGACCTTCATAGTGGAAGCAGCAATAAAAGGAGAAGTCAGATAAAGGACATGAGGTTTGCCCTTGCCCAGCTACCAGACTCTTATGGGGATTTCGTATTTCTGGGTTCCCCACTGGGTACCCTCGTGGCTTTTTGCTGGTGGGGGGGAATATGTGAGTGCTGGCTGGAGGAACAAAGCTAGCACCGGATATTTGGGTGTTAATTCAGGATATTCTCCCCTGCTCCCCTTCCCCAGGGGCTCTTGTCACCCAGCCAGTACTATCCTGCCAGGGCTGTGCTAAGAAGAGCCACCAGTGTTTTAATCGGTGGTGTCGAAAGCCAGGGTGCTGGCAGTTGCTTCACAGTGTTGCCTTTTGTCCCTGTGGCTTGGGCTGCTGCTCAGGGTAGGACTCTGCTCCCTTGTCGCAAGGGGACCAGCCCAACCTGCAGTGGGAGATAAGGGACTGCTGGTCCCTCCTAGCCTGGCCAAAGCTCTTGCTGCTGGAGGAGCTGTTGAGAGGAAAGGCACAACCTCCCCTAGGCTGCCCTGTATGGTTCCCACCAGCCCATGGCACCCCTCGTTGGTCTGTGTATGTGATTTACGGGGCCTCTCTACTGAGGATTAATTTTCAAGCCCCAGCAATAATTGCAGAATCACTGGAAGCAAGTGCTGCCTCCCCATTATAGCTAGTTGCAATGGTTTATTAATTACTTGGTGAGCAACCCCTACAAACTAAGCTCATAGGAGGTTAGCAGCTTTGGTAATCCTGTTTGGTTTTTTTTTATCCTCCCCCCTCTTAATTAAGTACATGTTGGGGTTTGCAAAGGCCACATGTGGACTTCCCTTGCTAGCAGCCTCGTCTCTGGGGCCCTGATATAGCTGCTCGCCAGGCATGACATGGCTATTTGTCCCTTTGGGTGGGCTAGGGAAAAATGGATCTGTTTGGGACCTGCCAGGCATTCCCCATTCATCTTCTCCCCCTCTGGATAGAGGGATGCTCTCTAAACACTTCAGCCACCCATCTCCTGTTTCTTTCAGTCCCAGCAGAGATGCAGTCGCAGGGCAGAGGAGTATTAATTGGATACCTGCACTACAGGGACTTCTCCCAAACTCTCACCCTGCAGCCCTTAAGTACTTCCTTGGCAATGCTGCTGAAGCCCTTTCCTCTCTCCAGTTCCTCCAAAGTCTTCCAACAACACCTGACTGAGCATTTGTGTGTTCCTCTCCACCCCAGGGGCTTACCAGCCCGCACCAAAAGCCCCAATGGCAGCACCCACACCTGCAGTGGGCAGAGCTGGTGCTCACTGCAACCCACAGTTCTTCTGCAAACCTGCCAGCCAAGCAGCTTCCTGGCCAGTTTCATCTTTTGAGTAATGCAGGTGTTTTGCCTGGCTTGCTCCCATCTTTTTGGTTTTCCCTATAGTGAACCACATGCCAGCCTGTGGACCTTCCCCCTTCTTCCCCGTTTCCCTGCCCCGAAAGTCCTCCCCCACAAATGCCCATCCTGCTTCTCCTCCCCGATATATCCTGTTCCCACGCACTGTAAGGTGTGAACACCAAAGGGGAGCCTCCCTTCCAGAGGACAAAAGCTGGGAGCACACCACTGCCAAAAACGAAAGGAGAAGTGTCTAAATAAGAAGCAGGTCCCCTTTGCTGATCCTGAGAGATTATTTTTTTTTGGTCTTGCATCCCTTCTTGTAGCCATCTACCCCTGCTCACAGCTCCTTTCTCCTCCTTTGCAGGCGCAGTATTATGGTGAGATCGGCATTGGAACCCCGCCACAGAAGTTCACCGTAGTCTTCGACACCGGCTCCTCCAACCTCTGGGTGCCATCCGTGCACTGTCACCTCCTGGACATCGCCTGCTGTAAGTGTCACCAGTGCTGGCAACAGCGCGGCAGCTTTTACTTCCCTGCAAAATGCAGATCCTGGCATTGCAAGAGGAGAAACTGAGGCAGCAGCATGAAAGGGCTCACTAGAGGCTGATGACCTCTTTAGGGTCAGAGCTGGAAATAGGATCCCAACTTCCCACATCTAGCCTTTATTACTCCCTTCCTGTTTTTCCCCTCCATGTCACCCACGCACAGCTTCAAGCCTTCCCCAACAGCCTTGGCCCTGCAGCCGGGGAGCAGCATCATAGGTTGTGATGTTTCTCCCCAAATTATAGACTGATGTTGCTGTTGCCCTGTTGTGCAAGGCTGGTAGAAAAAAAAAAAATCAGCCTCTTGCCAGATCTGATACAAACTGTCCTAGTTTCTGGTTTATTGCTGCACAGAGCGTGTGAGTGCATGTTTATGGATTTATAATTAACAAGAGTCAGGTAGGCACAATGAGATGAGAATGTCTTAAGGACTGTGAGTTTCTTTGCTCTGTGGGGTTCCTATGCAATAAACCTCCACAGTTGAAGGTGTCAAACCTGGCCATGGCTAAATGCCATTTAAAAGCCACTAACTGTGCTGCTTGAGCAGAGAAACCTGTGGACCCAACAAATGCAACCATGAAAGGCCCTCAGTGCTCACTGCGGGTAGGGAGGAAATTTCAACTGTATATACAGCCCTGTAGTGCCCGCAGAGGAGGTGGACTTTCTACTTGCATATGTGAAAGGAGCTTTAGGAGACTGGTGGTGTGATGAGGTACAGATGAGATCTATCCTGGAGGTCCCTAATCTCTAGCAAGGAGCTGGCTTCTCAAGGCAGCAGTGTAGGAGTTGCTGGGACTGAAGGGCTCATTTTATGAGTATGCAATGAGCCTAACCTGCCAGACTAGGATCCAGGCAGCCCAGCCAGGGAAATCACTTTATAGTGTGTTGGTTTCCATAGGGCTTGGCTGGTTTGTCCTCAGGTTCTGTCTGTCATGCTCAACGAGCAGCCGGGGAGCTGGGCTGGCTGAGCTCACCACACGCCACTGCCCAACTTGTGACTTGGGAGGAATCTGCAGAGGAGGAATCTGCCCAGCCGTAAAACCAGGGATATCTTGCAGTTCCCAAGCCTTCCAAGGGAAAAGCCCTTCTCCTCTGCAAGTAACTGAATATTTTGAGCCCTCTCTGCGCAAAAAAAAATGACTATATTAAAAAAAAAAAGTTCCAGCTGTCTTGGTAAAAGAAACAGATAAGCCCATAAAGTGAAAATGGTCATGCGTAGAGCAGGCTATATTTAAAGCCACCCTGGTTCTCCATGGCATGGGGGGAAGTTTCACTCTGCTGTCTAACACACCCTGACACAGTAGCCACGTAGCCTCTAGGCTCTAAATACCTAGTGGTCAAATCCGATTTAACAGCCAAATTGGATCTGCCCACCTAATTCCCCAGATGATGGACGTGCTTTGTTAAGCAGTCCGGGCTTGGCAAGTGGCAGGTTCAGACCCACCTTTGTGTTGTTGAGTGTCTGGGTGAGCTGGGCAGTGTGGGGTTAGGTATTGGGGAGCCCTAGGTATCAAGGAGCGCTAATGTGTGTCCCTCTGTGTCCCCCTTCCCGGCTGCAGTGCTGCACCACAAGTATGATGCCTCCAAATCCAGCACCTACGTGGAGAATGGCACTGAGTTCGCCATCCACTACGGGACGGGGAGCCTCTCTGGGTTCCTCAGCCAGGACACTGTCACAGTGAGTAACAGCTGCCCTTGCCCCAATCTGCCCCATCCTGCTTTTGGCAAAGCACTCAAAGCTGTTTGATTTCAATGGGTCTCCCTTCTTGAATGTCCTACTTGTATTGATCATGCTTCAGCACCATGTTTCCAAGTGCTTTGAAATGAGGTGATGATGATGACTCAGGAGGTGACCAAAAGCAGGCAGAAAAGGGGGGGGAGTGTATTAATCAGCAGGTCAGCAGGCTAGGAGTGTGGACTGCACCCGTGCTGCTCTGCAAACGTGGTCTCTGGCCATCTCTCCTGCCCACTTCCTCCTGACCCTAGAAATTTCCCAGCTCAAGTGCATGCCAGCACCACTGCGCAGGCTGCTGGTCACGCCTGGCTTGTTGTTGGCCAATATCCATGCGGTAGTGATGTCCACATAAGCAGCTGTCCAATCACTGGTCACAAATGGGCTCTTTGCAACCCTGTGCTCCTCTGGTGTTGAGGATGGTGCTTATGTTTGTAAAAGCCATGCAACACCTGAGGGAGGGGCTCCCCAGCAGCTTTCAGGGTCCAGCTTCATTGGGGTCAAAAGAAAAATATCGAAGCAGAGCCTGAAGCACTCATGTGAGGAGCACTCTTCAGCATGTCCCTAGAGCAGGAAGATTTCAGTCAGGCCTGGAAGCAGCAGGCATTACCGCTGTGCTGCATTCGAAGGTGCCAGCAGCTCAGGCTGGGTGCAGGACCCTCTTCAGGGGAGAGAGCTTTTGATGGGCTCAATGAACCCTGACAATCAGTGCAGAAAAGGTCATGGGGCAGAGCTGGGAGAACACCAGCAGCTTTGCACCTCTGGTTTTGTTCTCTGCTTCCTGCAGCCCACCAAGCTTCGGGACTGTTTCAGTTTTCTTTCATGCCATTTACTTTCTGCATCCCTTGGTTTGCTTAGAAACGCCCCACCACAAAAAAAGCTGCCTATCTGAGCCTTCCTGCAACTCTTGCCAAATGAGGGCACCCTGCACGTAGCATCAGTGGATTCTCTTAGGTTAGGTTTGTGAAATACAGACAGAGCAGGCGGAGACATCTGTGTTCGTCCCAGTAATGGAGTGGGGCAGTGAAGTAAAAAGCAAACTTTATTGCCCTGTGAAAGTGTGGGCTGTTCTTAGGCGCTTTCCAGCTTAATGCAGGGTGTGAAGTGAGTCAGAAGAAAAATTGTAGTTTTTTTCTTTTTTTTTGTTTTGTTTGTAATTATCACCGTAATGCCTGCTTGCTAATTAGCTTTCTACTTCCCAGCAGCTCAGAGGAAGGATTTTGTGCCTAAGCTTGTTTTGGAAGTGAGGATGGCTCTTGGCAGCCAGCATGCCTTGTACCATTTGGTTTCTGTCTGGGCAGAAGCAAGAGAAACCTCTTGTGTGGATCCTGAGTAGTGGCACACTTGCAGTGCACAGGAGCAGGGGTGACTCGAAGGGTCAGGAATCTTCAGCTTAGACACCAAGATGATGCTTCGGATGCACAGCATGCCCTAGGCAAGCTCCCAGTTAGGTGTAGGCTGGAAATAGAGACATTAAAACAGTCTTTAGGTGACCATCTCAACCTCAGCCGTCCTGATGGGTGGAAGCAGCCACCTGTAGTAACACTGACATCTGACAGAAAGGCACTGGTTGGCAGGTGGTCCAGAGTCCCCCAGCCCTGTATTTATTAGTTTTTTTCTCAGAGGGTGATGAGCTCATGTTGAGCATCCTCTCTCCTTCTGTGGAGCAATGGTGCCCTGTAGCACTGTACTCCCCAGTGCTGCTCTCTCTCCAAAGAGTAGTGGGCTCAGACAGCCCTCTGCTGCTTGGGCATCTCATCCCTTTATCACAGCCCGACCCTGGGATGTCCTTCAAGGACAGCAAAGGAAACCTCACTGGCCATGGGGCATGAGGTCTCTCCTAAGGGCTGCAGTGCAGATGTGCCACACAGGAGTTGCCCCTTCTTGCCTTTCCCCTGTGCCTCTGCAGAGGGGAGAGCCCTGAGCCCTGGTGCCAAACTGTGCCATGGTGGCTCTTGTCTCTAGTCTGCCGTCACCATCGAGCACTTGCCCACTTTGCTGGGCCTGCTAACAAGGAGGTCAGGCCAGCTGCAGGGTGCTGACACCTGTCTGCAAAGCACTGGAGAGTGGCCACCACACAACCGTCCACTGGTAATGATTTTTGATTACTCCATGTCTGGGTGAAGGCCAGCTGAGGGACAGAGATGAAGGATCTGTCACCTGGTGCCAGTGCTTTGCTAAAGATGCTCTTGTGTTTCAGTCCTGCTGAAGACCGAGCACAGGCAGGGTCTGCTGAGACCCCACCACCAGGCAGATATCTGCATCCCTCTTGGGCTGTGCAAGGTTGGCAAAATTCAAAGAAACCTGGCACTCAGTTTGTTCAGTCCATTGCATTTTACTTTTTTGAAGTGGAAGCTTTATTGAACTTCCTGAGCTTCTGCAGGCCCAGCTGTGCTGAGAGGTGGAGTGGTGGCTTTCGTAAACCTGCAGCATACGACCGGAGCCCTCGCCGTGCGCTGGCGAGCGGATGCGTTGCTGTGAGCTGTTTGCCCCACATCCTGCCCTGTGGCTTTTAGCTTTTGCAAGGCTCGATTGCCCTTTCCTAGCACAGGCCTCCAATACCATTAAAGCCAGAACTGCCCATCGCAGCCTTGCACTAACCCCGGGGGAATATTAGTAATTTACAGGGATCGTTATCTGCCATCAGGTAGCAGAGGCCAGCCTGGTTCACTACAGGGCTGCGAGCTGGAGGCTGAGAGGTTGAAGTTGTCCTAGCATGGATACTAAAATTTCCCATGGTCAGCCAGAAGCTCGGAAACCTCCTGAACTGCTAGAGCCAGGAGGTAGCAGGCATGTCCTGCTCCCCATCAGCAGAGAGAGCCTGTTTTCTGCAATCTTCTTTTCAGGCATCTGCCCTTGCAGGCTGTTTCAGCTTTCCAGCGGGGAACGCCAGTCCTTCTTATGGCTTGCAAGAGGTGACCTTTGCATTCGCAGTACTCTGCTTGCTATTTTCATGCTTCAGGCTCAACCTCACTTTCCTGGCTGGGTCTTCTCCCCTCCCACGGGAGGTCTCTGCAGGCTGATAGCTCTTCTGGGAATGCAGCAGTATCCTGGGGATGTTTCTTATATAGGGGAAATCACAGGGGTCATTAGCAGAAGTGAGGGGGATTTGTGCTCCCAACTCGGGACGAGTGCAGCACCCGAGGAGGTAGGACACAGAGGTGACTTAGAAGATGTGCAGGGTGGGAAAAGAGAGTTAAAGGCATAGCACAAGGGCTGCTCGGACTGGGAGGAAAGGATGAAGTAGGCAATAGGGGAAGGGATGTAGCAAGAGGGGGAAAAAAAGTGATATAGGGCCCTCTGTGCAAAAAGGAGGAGCCACAAAATAGCGTGGCACGTGCCAGGATCCAGCAAAAGGCTGAAAGGGCTGAGTGAGGTGGGCAAAGAGGGGCACTTTGCCGGGACTCGGGAGGTGCCACTCTGCTGCCAGCGTGGCCTGTTTCACCCCTCCCACCCCCCCTAGCCCCAGGGAGAATGGCACCGGGATATCTGGTTTCTGCAGCTGCTTACAATGCAAGGGTGAAAGCAGGCAGGAGTGTGGCAGCACATTGAGGGATGCATTATAGCCTATGTTCAGTGAGATCCTGTTTCCACCTTGGTCCCCTGAGTCAGTTTTCTTTACAATGCTTTTCCCTTCCCTCCCCATCTGCTGTCAGCTTGGTAACTTAAAAATCAAGAACCAGATCTTCGGGGAGGCTGTGAAGCAGCCAGGCATCACGTTCATCGCTGCCAAGTTCGATGGCATCCTGGGCATGGCGTTCCCGAGGATCTCTGTGGACAAGGTCACCCCTTTCTTTGATAACATCATGCAACAGAAGCTGATCGAGAAAAACATCTTCTCCTTCTACCTGAACAGGTAGTGTTGGGTTTGGTGGTACACCTCTTATTGCAAGGACAAGCCCAGCTGGGTATTTTTCTGTGTCTTCCTATAGCACTTCTTTCCGTGTGTTGGTTTACACCCTGGCCTGCACCACTGGGGAGTTCTCGGAGCAGTCAGGCCAAAATATCTTTTGTTTACTGCTTTGAAGTAAGAAGGGAAGTAGAAATGCAGACACTTTACTGATAAAAAACTGCATAGATTTGCTACTGGATTTCTTAACTGATGAAGGGACAGAGGATGTTTCCGGAGAAAAAAAACAAAACAAAAATAAACAGGGAGATCAGGGGTGAATAAACAGGTGATCAGGAGATTGCATGCTGCTAGTGCAGTCCCTGTTAGGGACGTAAACACAGCCCCAGTCTGTTGCCAAAATCTACAAGCCACATGGCTACTACTGTGTCATCTCTCAGGCAAGCATACCCCCCACCAGCCATCATGAATGATGGGGTTAACACTCTCTCACCCCCTGGGAAACCCTCCTGGGTGGCTCCCAGTGCCTTCCTACCCACTGCTGCTTGCCCCAGGACACCTCGTCATCCTCCAGGCACCTCAGTGGGGACTCTGAACTACTTCAGCTCAAAAAAGTAGCACACGGGGAGTGGGGAGGGCAGAGAAGGCTGCTGCTGGCCATTCGAGCGCCAGCCCTCCCCCATCACCATATTTCTTCCCATCTGCTCAACAGCAAGCTTTCATCTGACTGTAACCTTGAGGATTTGTCTCTGAGGCTGCTAGCTGGCACAGGGTCAGGTGTAGATAACCTAACTCTGCATCAGCCATGTCCAGCCCTGCACAGGTGCATGTTACAAGCCAATTATTCAGGGGGTTCCTACACCAGGGCTTAGTTCTCCTCTGCTGTTCCCCTTCTCTGCAGCAGGTTTCTCCAGGTGTCTGCAAAAGCACAAAGCAAAAATCTGCAGGATGCTTTGACTGGACCAAAATATTCCCATTTCCCCACCCCAACCTATCTCACAGTATCTGTCCTTACATTGACATTATAGCATGATGTAGGTTGTCTGTCTCTAATGCTGCACTCTCAAGCACCCTGGTCTGTGATGTAGGGGCATCCAGAGGGGTTTGTTCTCACCCTGCCCCTGATGTTGATGGGTTTGGGTTGTTTTTCAGAGACCCCACCGCTCAGCCTGGCGGCGAGCTGCTCCTGGGAGGGACTGACCCCAAGTATTACAGTGGTGACTTCAGCTGGGTCAACGTCACACGCAAGGCCTACTGGCAGGTCCACATGGATGCGTAAGTTTACCTTCTGCCCAACTACATGCATGGAGACATGTGCAGACAGCTTATGCCTGGGGTTCAGCTGAGACCCCCCCCAAAAAATCATCCTCTATCCCTGCAGCACATCCACACCAAAAAAGGCAGATTCAAATCCCACCCTAAGGCTTGGTCATTTGTTTCTGGAAGGGGAGGAGAATCAGACAGCAGGAGATGTTCTGCAAAATCCTTTCCTCTTGTTTACAGTTTGGCCCCTGAAAACACCTGTTATGCCCTTGCGAAGCAGGGAAGAAAGCTGGTGTGTCCTCCTTAGCAGGGCAAGCACCACAGATTAAACTCCGGCTTTGCTTAGCTCTCAGCAGCGTGTGAGCTGTGTGGCTCACTTGCACACAGCTCCAGAGGAGCAGGATGAGGCCCCAGGAAGCTAGCCCTTGACTGAAGGGCACGGCACAGCAATCAGTGTGCATTGTTGGAGGCGGAGGGGAGGAGAGCAGGCTGAGCTGCCGGTCCGCCAGCCCCGTGGTCTATTCTGAGCTCTCCCACGTGATGGGAACTTAAAAGCGGCCTGTGATCAGAGCGTGTCCTTTTCCTGGGGATTGCAGCCCTCTCCAGCACAGAGTTTAGTTCTCATCTTCCCCAGCCCTGCTGCGTTGGCAAAGTGTGGCAGACCCTTGGCCGGAAGCCTTTATCTGTCCACACTGTTGTGAAATGTGTTGTGGGTGAGAAAGCCAAGCAGCTCCTCTCTTATCTCTTCAGCCCTTCCCTTGCCCATGACCCCTTCAGCCATCACACCACCCCTTTAAGCCTTTGCGTTTTGCAGTAGCACGGGTCATATGCCTCCCTAATGCATTGCCTTTAGCTTGTTTGCATGCCTGTTAGTCATGGTGCTCAGCAGGCAGGGTATGCAGGCAGCAGTCAACTCTTTGCCTGCTGCTCCCTGCAGCCTTTGCTGAGAGGCCCCTAAGAGTTGTCTTCTGTCTGGGCTTCTCTCCCCAGGGTGGATGTTGCCAATGGGCTGACTCTGTGCAAAGGGGGCTGCGAGGCCATTGTAGACACAGGAACCTCCCTCATCACTGGCCCCACCAAGGAAGTGAAGGAGCTGCAGACAGCCATCGGTGCAAAACCACTCATCAAAGGCCAGGTGAGACTGGGCTGGGAAAGTGGGAGTCCACGGCCATTGTGGTATCCATGCTGATGCCCTGCTTTGCACTCCAATGCTTCTGGAGATCCTGGTCTCCTGCTCCCTTTGATCTCCATTCCCAGTCTGTGCTCCCGGAAAAGCCTGCAGCATAGCAGGGCCCCCTCTGTCTTTTGACCCCAGGTAGCATTCGATGGTCTGCTCATGTTCTTGGTAGAGGGCCCAGTCCCATGAACTTCAGATTTTGGGTTACCTCTGCCACCTGGGAGGCAGAGAAGAAGGGTTGTGAGCTGCAGCTGAGGCCAAGGACTTATGTTAAAGAATTAATATATTTAATGCAAATGACAGACCTTCCCTGCCAAGTTTTTAACCATTCTACTTAATCTCACAAGGTCATCTGTCCTCCCTGAAATTGCAGAGGAACAGGGATTATAAGGACCCTCTAGGAAGGATGCTTTGCTCTGAAACCCTGCCCAAATCACAGAGCCCTGAGTGCTTGTAGGGCTTTTCTGAACTATGGGGAGACCCTATGCTGCAGTAACAACTGTCTTAGACCTGCCACCCTCCCTGAGACTCACCAGTATTAATTAAATTGGCTTTGTCCGTTCATCACACCATGAGTCCCTGTCTGTGTGTCTAGGCTGTATCAAGCCACATTTTTTTCTCCTATGGCAGAGGAAAGACCCCAGCCCTGCTATGTCTGGTGCTGTGCTCTGGGGCTCAACAGAGCCAAAAGCTGAACCCAGCATCCTTTGGCTCCAAAACCTTAGAACACTCTGACCCTTCAGCTTGCAGCCCTGGGCAGGGAGCAGCCCACTTACCTCAGCTCAAGCCTCTTCTGTACCCTGAGATAAGTGGTTCTTGGGGAAAACCACAGCAAAGATATGGTTGTGCATAGGGTTCCTGAGGGTGTGGGAGCTGCCATCTAACGCCTTCACTGTTTCTCTTACAGTATGTGATCCCCTGTGATAAGGTGTCATCTCTGCCTGTTGTCACACTAACACTAGGAGGGAAGCCCTACCAGCTCACTGGAGAACAATACGTCTTCAAGGTGCGTCCAGGCGGCTCTTGCCAGCCCTAGGCTTTTCCCACAAGGCCTAACTTTTGCTGTCTCCACACAAACCTCAACCATGAAGTCCAAAATGTAAGAGCAGCTAAAACAAGGCTGGAGCTAGCACTTGGTGGGGAAAAGTCTGAAAGGTTAGGGTGATGGGGTGGTGGCACCGGCTGATGGACCCAGGCAACCTCACCAAAGTTCTGCAGGATCAAAAGAAACCCTGCCTTATGCTTATGAGGGATAGCAGGATGGGAGAGAAAGGGCAGGCAGGCTATTGCATCACTTTCTACAAACATCTTGCTCTTTTCTGCTGGATTCTGGTGCCATGAGGCCAGCCTTGTAATAGCAGAGGCCACCAGCCTGGCATTTAAGCCACCAGAGTGAATTTGCAGGGACCATCTTGTACAGAATTTCAAAGACAACTCTAATTCAGAGCTGTGTGGTCTGGGCACATGCAGCTCTACTTGATGTCTTGCTGCGTAAGGGCTCTGGGAGGGGGAGCTGCGTTTGGAGCCATGGGAGTGGTGGGTTGGGAGTTTCCTTTGCAAGCTGTGGATTGCAGGCACAGGTCGGGAGACACTGAGGAGCAGCCGGCGTCAGCAGGTGTTATTGCCAGGCCTGCAAGTTTGAGAGAAGGAGAGGACCTTCTCAGACTGAAGCTTTTGCTCTTCTCTTTAGGTTTCTGTACAAGGAGAGACCATCTGCCTGAGCGGCTTTTCAGGCCTAGATGTCCCACCCCCTGGGGGCCCACTCTGGATCCTGGGAGACGTCTTCATCGGTCCCTACTACACCGTCTTTGACCGTGATAATGACTCTGTTGGCTTTGCCAAATGTGTTTAAGCGCCTGATCCCCACTGCCTCTGCCACACACACACTTAACACATGCACGGGAGCCATACAGAAGGATTAGAAATCCAGTGAGTGGAAAGGAAAAAAAAAAATTAAAAAAGAAATGGAACTAGATTTAAAATTACATGGAAAATAGTCATTAGTGCCCTGCTAGCTACTTCTTCCCTTCCGTTGAGTAAGTGGTGCTGGGATGTCTCTAGTTGACAACCCCAGCTGGTGTAGCCCCTTGCTTTACTGCTAGGTCTTCCAGTATTTGTTTTTAAGAATGATTCTCAGAGCTGAACAAGGCCCTCTCATGTCTCCCAGCTCTGGTCTCCTTCCTGGGGGGCAGCTGGCTGGAGCCAGCGCCTCTGTTCCCACAAGGAGGCTGTGCGGCTGCTCTTGGGTTTGGGCTTCTGCGCTGGGGAGGAGGGAGGGGGAGGGATGTCCAGCACGTTATTTACTACTTCTTGCTGTTTCACTGATGAAGCGGGGGAGTGGGAGGCGGGGGAGAGCCCGTCTTCATCACCCCTTCGTGATGGGTTGAGGCAGTGACCACTAGGTCATTTCTCAGTGGGTTTGTGCTGGCTTGGTGCTAAGTGAGCACATCCTGGGCTGGAGTGACGGGGTCGCAGTAGCGTGCCCAAGGGTTGAGTTTCAGAGCCCAAGAGCTCTGCTGGTGTGTTTTTGTGTAGTGATGGCACTAGTGAGAGAGCTGGAGGCATGATGCCCATGTGCCTGACCTAAGAGGACAGTGATTCGGGAGGGGGGCTCCAGTCAGTGGGACTCTGGGGAGTATGAATATAAAGGGGGTCAAGATAGGATGTAATAGAGGTCACTTGAATTCATGGCCATGAAAACCTGGCTTTCTGCTGGGCAAAGTCACTTGACACAGGTTCTCTTGAGTTTGGGGAACTGCTGAGTTCCCCAAACCACGGATCTTCCCAGCTTCATCCACAGCCAGTGAGTTGAGAATAATGCTTCCTAAAGCAACTAAGTGATCTGCAAGGTGAAATCACACGGATAAAATCCATAGATGTTTCTTAGCCACATAAGACCTTTTGGAAGCATTATTCACAGCATTTGAACTGCCCAAACCTCAACAGACAGTTGGCAGAGCCGGCAAGCCCCCCAGGCAGGAGGGTGCCATGGCAGCTTGGATTTGCTTTCTGGGCTGCCCCATCCTGAAACCCAACTACCTTTAGCACCCTTCTTACCTCCTTCCCACCTTACTAACACTGGTGAGAGCTCTGTTCACGTCTACTCTGTTGCAGACTGAGTGAGGCACAATCCTGCTTTGGAGAGGTTGTAGCTGTTTTAGCTGCATTTGCAGATCCTTCCAGAGACCTGAGATTTGCACATACGGAGCTGCCTGCTTCACTGGGCTGGCGTCAGTAGGCAAACACTGGTGGAGCTAGGAGGACCATCAAGTGAGTTTTAAGCAGTACTGGAAAGCAGAAGAGGGTTTGCCAAGAATCCCAGCCTTCGCTGGGAGTAAGAGACTCTGTCCACTTTCCCAGTGTGCTGGATCAGGTCCTGAAGTTAGGGAGTGGCAACAGGCGAGGGGCAAAACTGAGGGTGGCAAGAGGACCAGATCACCACTGGCCATGCCCCCAGACCAGGCGAAACGGCAAAATCCTGGCTCCCCAAAACTCACTAATAACCCTGTCAGCAGTACCAGTGGGGCCAAGGAAGTTCCCAAGAAAGGTCCTTGGGCAGTAGGTGAATAGATGGTTATGCCCAGTGACATGCAGATACATCATTCCCAATATTGAATTCACCACTAACATGAGCGGCAAGGGTGGGGAAGAGGTCCCAAGGTGAGCTATAGGAGGACAGTGAGCATGTAGCCTGCAGATGTCCCTTGTCCCCACCTGCTGCAGCTTATCAGTTTGGCTTTATAACCATGCCTTAGAGTCTGCCATGGGCAGTGGGGACAGGCCTGGATGTACTTCTGATGTGTGTATTGTCACCTGCAACCCTGGATGCAACAAATGCTGCTCCCAAAGCTTGCTTCTGCCTGCTCATAGTCTTCACTGCAACGCTGCGTCTGGACGCCTAAGGACATCTGTTGCAGACTGGCTAGAGAACAGTAGTATGTTACCAAAAAAAAAAATCATCAGCTATTCAGCATCTCTCCAAAGAGCCCTGGTTTCACAACAGTTAAGTGACCAGAGCTCCTCCAAGTCCTGCTACATCATCTTCCAACTGCAGGATTTCTCCAGTGCAGCGAGACAGAGCCAGCCTCTCAGGCACCCGCTAATCAGACCCGATGCAGGGGGGGAAGCCTGACATGGAGCTGGTGGTGGGTTCTGAACACCTTTGGCATCAGATTTAAACAGGACGTGCAGTGCAGCCCCAGAACGAGCTGTCAGGCTACAGTTCTGCTGGGCATGCAATGCCTTATGTCGTCTGTGTTGTAGCCTCTTCCGTAGCCCAAGGCTGGGCTGATGTCTGTCCTCAGGCAGGCAGGAGGCTGCTTCCTGGGGAAAGAGCACAGCCCAGAACGATGCCCTGAGTGACATACCCTAGAATAGGCTGGAGGAGTGGTTCATCGTAGTCTTCCCAGAATGGGTCTCCTCCCCTTGTTCTTTTAGTTGCATTTTTAAACCAAACTCTAACCATGTGACTGTTGGGGTTTTTTAATCTAATTTGCTGTCAGAATTACTGTCTCATCATAGAAAATTGAAAAGAAAATACAGTATTTCCCCCCTTACTTCTGAGAGTAGTCTTTCATTTGAGATGCCAAACTATTTCTGAGTGTCCAGAGACTCTGTCTCCCTGACCTTTTGGCCCAGTATGTCTGGTCACCCACTTGGTGATCACTTGGTGACCCACTGGTCACCCACTTGAACTCACGTAGTTCAGAAGGGCTCCTTCCCTTCTCTCTGATAAGGAAACATGCTGGGAGCTGGTTGGGTTGGCCCTTTTCAATGTATTAAAACATAACCCAGCTTCTGCAGGACAACACGACAGTGTCACCTGCCTGACCCAGCACTATCAGGGTGGGAAGCACTCCTGGCATTTCTCCTAGCCTGCAGCCTTCTGCTGGGGCCACGTCTTCCTGGCTCAGTACTGTCAAGGGTAGTCCTCCAACAGAGTACTCGGGCTGTCCTCTGGGCCAGCTAGAACAAACTCCTGCTGTATTTGGCCTGCAGTGGCCAAAGTGGGACTCCAGTTTCCAAGTCCAGCCTAAAACTCCCTAGGACATGCAGTTTATACTTCCAGAGTGGTGATGAAGAAAATGTGGTGGGTTTTTTTTTTTCCAAAATGTAGGAAAAATCCATTCCTCTTGCTTGTTTGTGTGATTTTTAGTCCTAGTGCTGCTGTACGGAGGTTGGAGACTCCAATGCAGAATGAAGGCTCCATGTGCCAGGTGGAAGATAAGAGCTAATCCCTACTTTGAAAAAAGCATCATCTACATAAGCAAGACGGATGCAGCCAAGTCCCATCCCATTTTCTGAGCGCAGATCTAAGCACACAGAGCTTAACTGATTTCCCCACTGGCACATCCCAAGTCTCAGTTCCCCTAGGATGCCTTAATACCACAATCAGCTGTTCTACGCTAAAGAGATGGATTTAACCCAAAAGGCCTGGCTGGGTCCTGAAAACCAATCATGCAGCCCACCGTTCCTCAATAGCCCAAGGGGAGAACAAGTCGTCCACTGCCAAATATTTATTGATGGGAATAAGAGGGCGTTGTTTCTTCTGGGGGGATTGTGCCTAAGCCTTTAATTGTGCTGTGAGTACTGAATGTTACATCTCAGCAGGAACAATCACAGGCTTGGTCTTGGCCAAGAACTGGAGGAGCCAAGAGCCAGGATTGTCCACCTTTGCTTTTCCAGCAGGGAGCAGAGCACACCCCACCCTGTGAGCACCCTGCACTCAGCCCCACGTCATCCTGCCCAGCCAATCCTCAGCTTTACACCAGCCCCCTTATTTACCGCACCATCTCTACAGAATTCCACACACGTGACAATTTGATAACTCGCTTTTTATTAAATGTCTCCACTGCTGCAAAGAAGATGCAATTTTTCATCATATGTCTCCTTGAGTATTGGGATGGGTGGCCCTGACCCTCAGGGCTGACTTCATGGCCTTGAGCCTTCTCCAACCGCCTCTGCTCCAGGCTTTGCCAAAAGCCCACTCACACAAGGACCTGCCCAAGGAGAGGGAGGATGAGACCCCTCCTTTATGGAGATGACTTGCTCATCTGGTTGGTTCAGCAATTTTTTGATTGGGGAAACTATTTTTACTCATCACGAATGACTAAGCATATTGTATTGGGGGCTGGTGGCTTTTTATTTTTCCAGTCTTTCTTGGATTTATTTATTTTTAGGTTCCTTTGGGAGGGAAGAGAAGCGGAGTGCAGACTGAAGGCTTAGAGCACAGGAAATGGAGATCAAGGGAGAGTGGGGAGATGGGATTTACCCCTCCAAGCTTCAGGCCACCTTACTGCTTATATGGCTTAGCAACCCACTGAGGAATTTCACAGGGGGAATAGGAAAGAGCATTCAGGAGGGATAGGTCCTACTAATGGTTTTCCAGAGTGCTGGAGTAGGATTTGAGAAGGAAGACTTTCTCACGGGTCTTAAAGCGCTTGATTATGCTACAGCCCACACATTTCTAACATGATTATAGGAGAATTGCCTTTGGGGCAGGAAGCATCTTTCTGTTCTATTTGTCCCATGCTTAGCACGAGGGGATGCAGGCCTTGATGCCACAGTAATGCAGGCAATTATTCATACTCACCCCAGCTTTTATTTGAAAGTAAAATGGTCCTAGACCATATTATTGAGGGCTTGCATGCATGACCTTAAAAAACCCCGAGAAAATAGGAGGAGTGTTAAAATAATGCAGAATATTGAGGGGTTTATTCCTTGTGTCATTATTTTTTAAGCCAGTTCCCTAATTTTGAAGGGTCACGCGAATAGTTTTTGAACTGGAGATGCTGCATATATGCCGTTGTGATCCATGGTAATCAACGTCTCACCGCTCACACTTAGCATCAAGAAAGATGATGAATTACCAACCCAAAGACACAAAACTGCTCTGCAAACTGTAGGGTTGACCTGGTACCCAGAGCAGTGAAAAAGCAACCATCCAACCTCCCTGAACTTTCAGTCCTAATCACACTAGGGAACATGCCCACCTCTGTTGACCTCACGTACCTGTAGAACACCCTGCTGCTCCCTCTTGCCTCCTCCAGACCCGCTCTTTCACCTTTTTCTCTGCTCACTCCCCATCCTTCCCTGATGTTAAGAAGAGGAGCAGCCCTACCTACAGAGCTTTCCCCAGACAAATGAAGAGCAGGCTCGTCAGTAGCTCCCACGGCAGGCAGCAATCTGCATCCAAGGGGTTTTGTTGCTTCTCCTGAGCCTGCGGAAAGGATGCTCTGCACAGCTGTGGGTTGCCTGGGTTTGTCCAAGCCCTCCAGAAAAGTTGATGACAGCTGGCCACAGCTCTGCCTCTCCTACAAACCTCTTAATCCCACAGGAATATCATAGCTGCTTCCGCTTCTTAGCGGCTTCTTGGAGAGAGACCTGGGTCTCATCACAGGCAATCATAGCACTAATAAAAACCTCTCTACTTTGACAGTACCCAACACCTCTCCAGCAGCAATAGATCACAAACCACAGCACAATTTGTCCTGTTTTAACCAGCGCAGGTACCTTCAGAGGGATTAAACCAGCCTCATGGAAACTGGACCCCCTCCAGCCTAGGAGTGCTGTGGACACACAAGAAGTTCCCTTGCATCACACCAGTCCACGGGGATGAACACAGGGTGGGTGCCCCTACACAGGAGTCAAACCTGCCTGTGAGCAGCCGAGTGAATTACCATCCTAATTTCTTAGCTCAGCACTTTGTGGTTATGCTTAAGGCATTTCCAGAGGATTTCCCTTCCCCTGCAGGTACCGCTCACACGAACTGTTGTTTTACTCAGCCTTTTTCCAGTACTCCGGGATTTCTCTGCTCCCTTTTTCCAGCACCCCAGCTGAACCTGCTGCTACTTCAAGGCCACCTGTGCCAGGCTGGTCTCTGCTGCTGCAGGGTGACATGGTGTGCCATGGCTGTGTCCTCCCAAATGACCTGCACGCTGTCCCTGCGCAGCACCACCTGCTCTCTGGCATCGTGTCCCTGGGGGGATGCTACCACAGCACTCCACAATCAGGTTTTCCAGGGCAGTTGGCAAGGGGAGGCAGCAAGCATTTCCCTGATTTTGTGCCAAGCCCGGGCACAGCCAGATCCTCCCTGGCTTGTCCATCCTTCATGACATGCCCACCCCCCTCCCCTAAAGCAGCCGCATGCCCTGTGTCCTATTCCCAGGGTGCTCCCACCCCTGCCTGCACTGGGATTTGCTCAGTGTCAGCAGGATTTATCTCCCTGCATGCAGGGTTTATCCCCTCTCCATCCATCCCTCATGACTGGAGCGCTTTATTCCCCATGGCTCTGCATCACCACCACCTCGCCTCACCACGCTGTCCCCATTGTCCCCACACGTCCCTGCCACACTTGCTTTAGGCTTTCACCCAGGCCCATGGAAGTGAGCCCGTAACCCAGGATGCAGCAAGTGGCCACTGCAAAGGTCTCTGTGGGTGATGGTAGGAACAGTTGGGCTGAGCATCCCCTCCGGACGGCCGGGGAAGCTGCTCGGCTGGGGCCCAGAAGATGCCCTTCTCCAGCAGGGCGCTACCAGGACGCTCCAAGCAGGAGGTGACGTCCCCGTGGGGAGGACAGGAGGAGAAGCGCTGAGACACGGAGGAGCTCTCCTGCGTGGAGCACGTTCGGGGTGGAAGCGAGGGGGCTTCGGGTTGACCTTCCCAGCCCCTAACTCCCCCCCTGCCGAGCTGCAGCCCATGGGTGCCCCCCCTCCTCTCCTCCCCTCCTCCCGCAACTCCAGCGCCGAGGAAGCCGAGCCGGAGGCAGTGCTGAGCCGGATATGCAGCGACTCCCCGCATCCCTCCTTGTGAGTATCCCTCGCTCCTCCTGATGCCTTCGGAGGAGACGGATGGACGGACGGACAGGCAGCCAGAGGTGGACTAGTCTCTCCTATTTGCAAAGCTGGGGTGGGGGGGAACCTCTTCCCACATCCCCTTCCCCGTCCTCTGTCTTCATCCCCTCTTCCCCCTCCTCCTTCTCATCCTCTCCGGCCACGATATTCTCCCCAAAAAGAATCGGGGGGGAGGGGGGGGATGGGAGAGGAAGGAAGGAACCTGCTGGTAGGTGGAAGAAATCGGGAAAAGCAATCCCATCTGGAATCCCGCAGAGATGAGGACTCAGCCAAAAAAATAAATAAAAAAAAAAAGCCCCCCCCCGCCTAAAATTAAACCTCCAGGAGGGAGGGCGGGCGAGGGGCCGGGCTGGGCTGCTCTGCCGCACCGGGAGACCCGCTTCCTCCGCAACCCAGCGACCCGCTCCCATCCCGGCATGGGACAGAGAGCAGAAGGCCCCGGCAGGCAGGCAGGCAGACGGACAGACAGACAGACAGACCGACCCACAGGCCGGCGGGAAGGGCTCGGGGAGGAGGGGCAGCGCGGCTAGTTGGCAACTCCGCGGGAGCCCCCCGGCTCCTCCCAAGTGTTTCTTTCTGCTTTTATTTGTTTCCTTTTTTTTTTTTTTTTTTAAAAATTTTTTCCCCACTCTTCCCCTCTCTTTCTTTTGGTTGCTTTAATTTAGTAGAGGAAGCAAAGGCAAATAGTTTAATCATACCCATCCCCAGGGGCAATTTAGAAT